AGGGCCCTGCTTCCCATTTATCCCTTTGCACATCCTAATGACTACTGATGGAAAGAGGAGCTATTTAAAAGAGAACATAAGAACATAGCACTGATCCCTTCCCAGAAAGTGAGCAGTTACCCCTACCCACCCCCCTAAAAAAAGCCCAGTAAGGCCAAAATAAGTAAGAAAATGAATTGGTCTTAAGTTTTTAATACATTGGTGAATTTCTGTCTTCAGATCAGCTGCTGTTTGAGCCTCAACAAAATCCAGCTGGAATTCCTTTCATATGAATTGTACAATGATGCTCAATAACATTTATGCTCTATATACTGGCAGAATTCACCCAATTGTAGTTTCTTCTACTGTGCAATATATAGTCAGTAACACAAGACAGACAAGTGCCCAATAATTTTCCAGAAAGAAAACCAGTTAATGGTTCTAGAGGTCAGTTATGATAAAATAGCCAGAGAGAGCAAACACATGGTATTCCTTTGTTTTCTTTTCATTTCAAATTTATGTCTAAATTTAGCAATAGTTGTGAGAAACACTCAAGAAGTTAGATTCCAAGAGGAAACAGCTCAAAGCATGAACCTGCTGAGATTGTGAGAAAAGGCAAACAGCTACAAATGGTTTCATTTTTGTACACTAATAGTTTCAGCCCTATTATAATAAATCCAGATGAAGTTTTTTATATAAATCTTGAAAATATTTCCAAACAACTTTGTTCCCTATTCTTATCATTTTAAGCAAATTCTGATAGTGATCATTTTATTTACCTAGGGTGAATCTGCATACAGCCTTCTCTGGGGTTCAGATATGGTCAAACTGTGAAGAAAGTAACAAAAACTGTTCCGCTGTCATTTCCATAAAGGAATGGGGTTCCATAAAGCTCCAACACTCTACACTCCTAGTTCTGAGAAATTAATCAGAAGGAAAGGGCAGAACTCCATTCCTTTGCCACCCTTACTGCCCCTAGGTCAGCCAAGCTACTGCTGTCCTTCCCACTTCTCCATTAAATTGGATTGCCTAGCATCTGGACTCTAACCTTGTCATTTCCCTAGTATGTGTTGCCTTCTTTCTTGATCCAGAAATGATGTACTTCAGCATTTTGCTTGGTCTTCTAGCCATTTTTTAAAATGGGAACAAACATGGTTTCCACTGATGCAAACAGACTCAGTGGTAGTAGCTGTGTTAGGGAGACAGAGAGCTAGGCTATTCAAATAATAAATTAAAACTTCTCATTGTTTTCATCCAGGCCTGCTTCTTGTTTATTATCAGTTTTTCTCGTTTATAAGCTCTAAAATAGTTTATCTTCAGGTTAGCTTGAAAGTTTTTATATCAAAATGTTTTTGGCCCCACCTCCTATTTATGCAACAGGCCCTGCCTCCCAACAGTGCTGATAGGTTAACTGGGGTTTGGCAGGAGCCCCCAATGACTAGCACAGGGAGGCAGGTCAGCCCAACCACCTGGTAGTCCCACGTGGCCAGAGGTGCTGTGCACGGTCCCACAAAGGGCGCACACAAAGGAAGGTGTGAGTACTCATTCTAGACATTTGTATAGCATTTTATGGCTAGCAAAGTAGATGTAAATGAAATTCCCCCTAATTATAATTTTGGTAGTGGCCCATTCCTGGTCTGAGGTGGTCATACACTTCACATTCTCTTTTTATCTAAAGTTAGGTATATTCAAACTATGACAGAGTGCTTTAGTAAAAATACACTATTGTGCCCTTTGTACATCACACTGTGGAAACCACCATGTCCCATTCAGGGAGTCTTTGCCAAAAACAGTACTAAGAATTGGAATGTATGCCAATAACAATCACTGTAAAAAAAAAACCCTTGTTTATTCATTTATACAAGCTGCAATAAACACAATGTAAATGCCAAAAGACATCACTATTGAAGAAGACACTATTTGGTAAGTTATAGAAAGTTATATCGCACAAAATATATATTTTTCTAATATGCCCTTTTTGCTAGGTTTTGTTAGGTTTCTGTGATCAGCGCCTACATTTTAGTAAAAGGGCCATTCATGGCCAAGGTGAAGCCATCATTTTAACTGGATGAAATCCTATGTACACACTCATCTCCTGGAACTAAACACTCACCCTCAAAAAAGATATCTTTATCTTCCTTTTAAAATTGGACTGACGGCAGCACTGACGTGGGTAAGGGGTACAGGGCTGGAAGGCAGCTGTTAGATGGACAAAACTAAATCAATGAAAGCCGTTTATAAAGTCCCACAGCACACTGCTGTTTCCTCCAATGACGACAAAGCCATATGTAGTCTGTTTCCAGCTAGCAAAAGAATGGCATTTGTGGACACAACGTACCATTAAAAGAAAGAAGAAGAAACACCCATGTTTTCTACTTATGGTGGCCAGATCGTTTTCCTGGCAAGGATGTGACATTTATACAAATAATGCTGTGAAGCAGAAAGGCAAAAACCTTTCTTGTATTCATTAGAACCTTCCTTTCATCATGAGAACAAAAAAAATAAAATCCTTAAATCAGGACATTTATGTTCCAGAGGGGAAACAGAAGATCAACAGTCATCAGGCTACAACCCTGGAGGCAGTTAGACTGGTTATCTCAAAATCATTTTATGCCTTGGACCTATTCCTTTCATATATCCCTATGTACAATTCTATAAACAAGTGTTTAAATCTTATCAGGAATTAATGTTAAAAGCTCACTGCATTTATTTGTTTCATGTGTATCCCACCCTTCTTATCTGCAAGACATAGCAAAGTTTTGGGTTTAGCAAAGTTTCTGAACTCGTAATTATTTTAAGGTAAAGGTAAAGGTACCCCTGCCCGTACGGGCCAGTCTTGCCAGACTCTAGGGTTGTGCGCTCATCTCACTCTATAGGCCTGGGAGCCAGCGCTGTCCGCAGACACTTCCGGGTCACGTGGCCAGCGTGACAAGCTGCATCTGGCGAGCCAGCGCAGCACATGGAACGCCGTTTACCTTCCCGCTGGTAAGCGGTCCCTATTTATCTACTTGCACCCGAAGGTGCTTTCGAACTGCTAGGTTGGCAGGCGCTGGGACCGAACGACGGGAGCGCACCCCGCCGCGGGGATTCGAACCGCCAACCTTTCGATCGGCAAGTCCAAGTAATTATTTTATTAACACTTAAATGGGAATAAGTTTCATCATGGATCTTTTGTTTCCCTGTTGTGCCTGTCATACTGACATGAAATAACATAACTTTTTTACTTTCCCTTACATAATTAAACCATCATGTGTATTTGCTGTCACTTGTATCTTGAAGTACTAAAAGTTAATGGACAGATTACCTATATAATGCTGACACTGGCCCTTTGCTCAGAATTCACTATCAAACTATTTACAGCTTGTAATTCCTTCCCTTAATGCAGGGTTGAGCCTGTACATTAGTCAAGAACCTCAACAGACTTACTGAAATCTACTGACCAAAAATGCAGAAATTCAAGCAGGCACTAGTGTGAAACTTCTCTTTGAACTTAACGTTTCAAACATTGAGGGGGGGGGACCCAAAAGGAAAAACATTCTTTCCTATAAACATTAAGCTTATAATACCGATCACTTTCTGTTCTCAAATTAAACTGGAGCCCGCTTTTTAAATGCAATGTTTTTAAATCGTCTGCAATAATAATACCTCCCTAGTTTTTGAGGAAAACATACAAAAGATAAAACATAACTAGGATTGTACTGTTTGTTTTTGTTTTAACACAAAGATAATCCAACCTGAGAAATAAGAGTATTTGACTCAGCATTTGCATTGAAATAATGTCTAACATTTTTTAGAAAGGATAGAAGCTGCCTTTGTCTTCTCTTGCCCCTCCCCCCAAAAAAAATGAATGAAGGAAAAGATGTTATGGCAAACAAACCATATGAAACCAAGAGAAAGCAAAGCAATGCAAAATAGCTAAAAAGTTGTGTGAATTGGGATAGGATTACTGTTCTTGAAATTTCATCTTCCATGTTCTTGGCAGCCGATTTTAATTTCTGTGTTGAATGTATTGCTGAAATGGATGTGTGATTTTATTGTTTCCTGCTTATTATTTTATGACCTGTTATTGGAATATTGCATGTGCTTTTAGCTGGCTTTGTCAGATATTGTAAGGCATCTTGTGAAAACGTAGTATGAACAGCAGGTAACAAATGTATTACACTAAATAAATAAATAAAAAACAATAAGCTCAATGAATATTTATTTAAAATTGTTTTATCCCTCCTCACTTATTTAAAACATTTTTACCAGTAGTGATATTGGCAACAGAAAGTAAAAAAGCAGTAAGCCAGACATTTAAGATACAGTACTATAATAAGTTTCACATAATTAAGAATACTCTAACTAGCCACCTGAAGACAGACAAAGTGGGGCAAGTCACTTTTCACTGAATAAGAAATTTCACAACTGAGAGCCACTACTGATAAGGCTGCAACTCAAATTCCCACACATCATATCTAAGGAAAACAGGGGGTTCTGTCCTATGAACAGATACTCCTCCAACAAAGGGGCAGGGGTTGAGAAACCTAGGCCCCCAACTTTTAACAGCTTTTAAGGTCAATGCAAGTAGTTTGAAATTATTAAACAAAGAGAGTACTAATGAAGTTGCTCGAATATGGGTGTTATGTGCTCTGAAACCAAGGGTTGAGGGAGTGTCAGCCACCACAAAGAAATTGAGAAGAGCATAGTGGATGCCCCCATAGGAAGGAATACAAAAACAGTTTTTGGAAAAGTAAATGGACCACTATACCAGTATCCCCACTACATGCTCTAACACTTTCCTTCCAAATTGTAGATTTTATAACTGTCTGATAGTTATTCAAATCAGTAAAACACAGGGTATATTTCTTTAGTAAAGATCTTACTACAGTGGTACCTCGAGTTACAAACGCCTCAGGTTACAAATGCTTCAGGGTACAAACTCCGTTAACCTGAAAGAGTTACCTCAAGTTGACAACTTTGCCCAGGATGAGAATGGAAATTGTGTGCCGGTGGCACAGCAGCAGCAAGAGGCCCCATTAGCGAAAGCACACCTCTAGTTATGAACAGTTTCAGGTTAAGAACGGACCTCCAGAAAGAATTAAGTTCGTAACTAGAGGTACCACTGTATAAGCTATTTATTAAGGATCCTTTAAGACTACTAAAACTACACCCTCCCTATGTGAGACATTAAGAACCCCTCCCACCCAATATGCCAGGCCCCTCCAGCGGCAAGAAGGGGACCTTGTCCACCTCCTCAGGCTGCATAAATTGAAATGCATTATGGTACTTGGGAACCATGAGGGCATCCATAACTTTATATATGGGTTCCAAGTTAGCATGGATTTAAGTTATTTTATCTTCAAGGTGTTTTGCAAATTATTCACAGTGGACACCTGAGGTTGGAGGCTCCATTTATCTACTAATGTTAATAACCACCGATAGCCATAGATTCCTCTTTCAAACAGTGATCCACATATTTTGGCTCTCCCTGGTAGCCAAGTCAAAACTTGTAGCCTGCAGAATGCTGCCCTTGTGTGCATGTTTACTTGGAAGCCTCTTTGAATACTACGGGGCTTTCTGCCAGTTAAGTGTACACAGAGTAGCATGTACACTGACCTTAAACTGCACCTCCATGGAAAGTCAGGGACAATCCTTTGCTTCCTTCTTCAGCTTCAAACTTTAGGTTGCAAATGGCATCCTGCTGCACCCCTTGGGTGGTATATGCTGATGTTACCAAAGCAGTATGTATATAAGACTTCTAGGGTAGGTTTCATCCTGCTGTGCTGTGTGTTATTGCTTATACATACCATCCCGTCTTCTTTATACAATATAGCCGGTACTTAGGTTTATATGAAATTCTGGTGGAATGCATTGAGGCTTAGTTTGGCTGAAGCTGATGCAAACACCAACAAGATTTCAGGAATGTGTCAATGTGATTGCAGCAAAGAAAGAAAGACAGAGAGATAGAAGAGGTACAATAGACACTGTAGTAGGTTCAGGAAGAAATGGAAATTATAGCAGAGTCTGTGGATGCATAGAAGATGTAAGGTTGATTAAATTCAACAGAATTTACTTCCAAATAAGTGTTCTTAGGGTGTGTATGATTGAGTGACTCAGCACACAAACAGAAATGTGGCCAGCAAAGTTTCTCTCCAAAAATAATGTTTCTAACAGGAAAATAAAGTGTGTTAACAAAAGTGATAAAGAAACTGAAAAACACTCACCACGGGCTCCACCCAGATAAGCATCATAAATAGTCAGCTTCTTCTGTTCCTCTGTATTAGAAAAGGAAATCAGTCTCAAGTTAGTGCTGACAGTGTTCTTGAACCTCTGTCTGGCACAAATAATTATATGTTCATTACTGATCTGCAGCCCACAATCAGCAGTATTTAGTACAGCCCTGCTATTCACAAAACAACAGAGGATCAGGAATCAAAATCTGTGGCCATGTTAATTTGTACTTTAATAACTAGTCATGAGGAGGGAAGGAGGAGCAATTAATTAAGTTTGTATTTAAAGGCAAAAATACCTAATTCACACTTTCCAAAACAATATGCAAACCAAAACACCGCCATCCTTCAAAATTCACACTTGCCCAAATGTTGCAATGCAGTTTTTCAGCCAAGTAATGTTTTCAAAAGTGCATACTGTATACTAAATAGTGCATATAAAAATAACACACAAAAATCCATTATAATAGGGAACTTTTTAAATTGCTCTGCAAAAAAAGTATATTAGACAAAATTGCTTACAAAAATGTGTATATTAGAATTTGCACTAAAATGATGAATTTTCATGCAGACTTTTTAAAAAATGCAAACTAATGTGGAAATGTGGAGATCTGAATTGAAGATTGGAGAAATGAGAAAGAAAGAGAAAGAAAATTAGCATATTCACCCATCTGAGTTTGAAGACCTTATACTTTGTGCTGGTCAATTATTTACTTTACTAAGAAAGTCAAAATATATATATTATTTCACATAAAAGAGAGATGTTTGTGCTTCACAAAAGGGAAAATGTGATAGTTTGAGACAAACCTCTACATTAATGTTTATATTAATACACACTTTATAAGATTTAGTTTTGGCAAATATGGTTCTGGAACATGATTACACAAAAATTATAACAAATTATATATTCACTAATGAAAGTAATTATGAACCCCTGGCTCAAGCACTTTATGGGTAGCTGGCAATTCATTCAGGGTTTTCGTAATGGGCAGAGTGTCATTCTCCTTCAGGCTATTACTATGAATCATGGCAACAGCAGTCAACCAAAAGCCTTGGCTGTTCTATGACAATCTAGATCATAGCAACCATGTTTTCCAGAAAGGAGTCAATGGTGGGCTTCAGCAGGAGGAAATGACTATGGGTTTATGTTCACAGTCAGCTGTTCCAACCATTCCCTCACCCCTTACAGTTTCATGTCAGAGACTCAAGGGACGGATAGAAAGAGGAAAACACAAGCAAGGGGTGTCCATGTCTGCGAATTCACCTAGTATGTACAGTCTCCTACATCCACAGCAAGAACTCAATCAGAATCTGAGGAGGAAAACCATGCTACACCAAGTAGGCTCTTTATCAATGGCTAACTTGACAGTCCCTCTGTGATTTACTGGGGTGGGAGGAGAGTCAAATGCAGCTTCATTCTCTTGCAGGAAGGAACAGAAAGCTCATGTGTTTCTGTTCTCCCACATCCCCATATTATTAAAACACACATCTCCACCTTCCAAGAGATGTGCTGGCATGGGGAGTTTTGTATGTCTCCCTCTAATATAGTTATGGGAAATGCTTGAGTTGTGTTTCAGATATTATAGACTGTCATGTCCAAAGCGTTATTTGCCAAATTCCGAGAGGCTCTATTCAACCTATGATTAGAAGTACCCACAGTTGCCTCCCGCATACATAGTTTGCAACCCAGAGATTAATGCAGTTGTACCAGTGAAATGAAAGGTAAGGCTCATTTCTTGGATCTCTCCTTCTCTGTCTGCTGCATGCCATACTTTGCCCTTGCGACTGCACAAGGACAAGCGGCAGGCAAGCAGCCATAGCAAAAAAAAAATCCCAGGAGACACTTGTGTCATTTCATTAGTACAATTGTTCTGTGTATCCTCAATCTCTGGATTGCAAACTGGCAATCCTACATATCTGTGAAGTTCTGCTAAGCCTTGCTACTGCTATCTTAAAATCTCAGTATTGCACTGCATTAATTAACCAATTAAGATTCATATTCGGTCCTTCAGAAAGAAGTTCCAGGGTGGCTACTACACGCTTGGCAACATCAAAATATCTATTCCCAACCCCAAGCCAACCCTGAGCTGGAAGAAGCAGCAGAAAATTCAGACCCGGTTCAAACTTTTGTGCAACAGCATAGTTGCTGCTAAATATCACTCACCCATGCTCAGGGCTCCAGATGGTTGTGGGTCTACCTCCCATGTGATCAGTCGTCCTGCACAGGAAGTGGATTCAAACATTCTTCAGCTGCATGGAGCTCTGACCACAAAGAAATGATTTTCAGCAGCAACTATGCCACTATGCAAATGTTTAAATTGGGCCTAAGGAATCCCAGCTGAAGTCCTTGTTCTAACATCTCTTTTTAATTCCTTGTCACTGCTCAGTATTTCTGCCTATAATTATTTCCCCCATTTCTCAAGCCATTTCAGGCAGTGCTCAGGCAGAGAGAGAAATGCGGAGGGCTGTTTTACAGATTTGCTCTGGGGGTTGATAGTTTATTTATTTAAAATAACTGCCACATGGCATTCAAATAGGCTTGGCAAGCTGCAAGTTACTCACCTACACTAGCATCAAGATGAATACTGTATATTAACTGTTGTGTTGTGCTTGTTCTGCAAAAAGACAAAGGGTAAATCTTCAGAACTATTGGCCATTTTACCAATATTAATGAAATTAGCTAGACATAAAAGCACCCAAACAACTGTATATTGCTAGAATTTCACCACTGGACAGTTTTTAATGGATTTGTACTGTTTTTACAATAGTATACCATCTCAGACTTTGAAACTGCCCTGTTGCTAGAGATGTTCGTTAAACAGTGGCAGTTGTACAAATATGGACTGAACTTTTCCAAACACCTCCTCCCAGCCATTTTAGAACTTCATGTGCCAAATGTAACACTAAAATACACACATTAAAAAAACAACAGATGGTCATTAAAATCCTACACTGTTAAGCGGAGTATTTTCCGTGCACGCAAAGAAAAGTCATGATAATCAGGGAAAGTATAATTCAGCATGAAATGTTATTTGAAACAGCCCTCATTGACCGAGAGCCACAGCACATTACAAAGCCCTGTCAAGGAGATGCTGTCAAGAGGGGCCTTGCTATTGTGATGGATCTAGAACTGAACACCACCATCATGTTGCAAATCTGCAACCAACCACCAGCAACTACAATGGGGAATGTGGTGTGGGTATAACATACAGGTGGTATTTCTAAATACTATGGTCTACTTGATGATCTGTCACCCATCAGAGAATAATTTTCAGTCAGCTCTGAAGCCCAGGGCATCAAAACTATTGATTTTTGCTGGAAAGAGTAAATCCTAATTAAATTGTGGGGAGGGAGGATATGGTTGGCATTTCAATGATGATGCCATTTCAACACTGCAAAAAAACAAAACAAAACCCTACCATGTACGAAGAGCACCAATCCCACAATAAACACATGTCTGGATGCACCCTAAGGGAAATCCACCATCTGGAGAGGAATTGATAAAGTTTGGCAGGTTGGCATAAATAATGGCTGGTTAGTTGGACAAGCCAAAATGTGTAGTTCCCTGGTGTGCTCTTCCTTCCCCAAAACCAGTTCCCAAATTTTGTTGTTCCACCTGGCAGGTATCAGTGACAGAATGGCAGAGAAGTCCCCTCTCTGCTCCAGTGACTGGAATCAGCTTTCATTCGGCTCCTCACCCCCACAAGTCTCCTCCATGGCTCTTCTCCATGTATATATGTATATTCAAGTGAATATACATAAACTCTGCATCTTCTCTCTCCTGCCTGGCCCACCTCTATCTTCTCCAATCCCTTTTTTTCCATTTAAGTTGTATCTATTTGATTTTGTATCATTCTTTGCATATCGCTTAGCAGAATTTTCTCCTTCATAAATGAACAATGGGAGCAAATTCTGAGGCAATTTCTGAGGCAATATTTCTGAGGCAATATTTCAGTGACGCGAACACTAAAAGAAAGGTTTCTTTTATTTACTTAACAGAATTCACATACTGCTTAATCGACAGAAAACCTCTGTCATTTTTTTAAAAAAAGCATAAAGAAAAGTTGGGTGCTAATTTACTGCACTAAACGCTTTTCATTGCAGTTGTGCTACACTACAACCTGTTTAAATAGCACTGTACTTTTCTTTTGTCTCTATATTACCATAATGCTATTATATTATTATTACTTATTTATTTATACCCCGCCTTTTTTCCTGACAGGATTCAAGGCAGCTTACAGGTAAAATTAAGAACCGCTGAAAACATAGAAAATGGAGTAATTAAAAACAATTAAACATTTATAGAATTAAAACTATCTATCTAAATATGATTAAAATTAATAGCATACAAATAATCACAACGAAATGTTCTTGTCACCATAATGAGAGCTCCTACTCTCTGTTCCCCTCAGACACATGGGGAATGGATAAAGAGAAGGCAGCTTCAGTTCTATAAACAAGTGCAGTTCCTCAGCCTGAAATCCTCTAAAACTGTAAAGCCTTGAGAAGAAGAGTCCTAACACTCTGGTTTATCAACATGAATATTATTTTTATCATTATTTTTTATTTTTTATTTTTTATTTACTTATGCCCCACCTTGTTCCCTGACAGAACTCAAGGCAGTCTACATATAAAAATGAGAACCATTAAAAATCTAGAAACCCACACACCCTACACCCAGAACTTTCTCAGAAAAATAATTTATGGAAGTCTGATGAAAAAGAGCAAGCAAAGGAAAGACAGACGTCACAAAACTGAATTAAGACATACCAAAAGGAAGGAAGGAAGAAAAGGAGGGAAAGACGTCCATTGCAGCAGGCCTGAGACTGAGGTATTTCTTCACTCTTAGAAACACTGGGAAGTTGAATTCAGCAGTGCTGCTTTTCGTGATCCTTCGCTATCAAAGGAGCTTCTCTGTTTCCCTTGGAAGGAAAAAACCAAACAAACCCCAAACCCTGGTTCATAATCTGTGTCAGGAGCTGGGTTACTAACTGGCAGAGATGTTGGCTTTCCGTTTGATAGTTTTTCTCCAGCTTGGCATCAGGTATTTTGCTGAGTATACCACATACCTTCAGATCTGAGGAGGGTGGTGTGGTGCAGTGGCGTAGCGTGGGGGGTGCAGGGGGGGCCGGCCGCACCGGGCGCAACATCTGGGGTTAGGGCAAATCCACAGGTTAGGGGGCGCAAATCCATGGGTTAGGGGGCGCAAATCCACGGGTTAGGGGGCGCAAATTACTTGCCTTGCCCCGGGTGCTGACAACCCACGCTACGCCACTGGTGTGGTGTAATTTTTTTTTACATGGAGCCTTATAACCCACTTTGATCCTCTGACCAAAATTATCCTGGCTCCGTCCTCGAACTGATAAGAAACCATCCTACTTCACAAACTGAACAGTTAATAAGTCCAATAATTGACCCAGCCCCTTTTTAAAATCACAGGTTTACAATCCAGTTCACGAAGCTTTGGAGCGACTCCTGTCTAAAAATCAAGGCAAACCTCCCTCATACTTATTATTTATTTTCTTCTAATTTTCTCCTCAGAATTGATGTATTTATTACTAATTTATTTATTACTAATTTCTCCTCAGAATATGGAGGCTGGGCCTTGGGGAGCTGCTTCCTGGTTATCAAAAGCTTGCATTAGAGGCCTACCAGAAAACCCCACTCCTTGGATTGCAGGGTTGCCTCTGTATAGCTCCAATATGAACAATTTTTAAATCTCCAATTTGAGCAGAAAGTCAGGATTGTTCTTTTCCAACCTGCTGCTGTCACCTGTTCATACCTCATTGGTTGTGCAATGAGAGGCCTGGGAAAGGAATGGGGAGGAGGAGCCATGCTTTCTTTTTCCTGCAGTGTGTGCTTTTAAATGTCCTATTTTGATGTCAGCAACAAGGCTGCAACCCTGCTGCCTTGTTAATCCCAGAGCATTTATATCCATTTTTTGTTTAAGGGTCCTATTCCAATGTGAATTTGATAGTCAAGAAACAAAAGTCTGGAATGTTCCTTCAATTCACTTCAGCTCACCCAGAACAGGCATTCATACATTTATCTGAATTCATACATCACAGTTTGTATGAGAAATAACAAAGTCCAAGTTAAAAGTAGTGATGCATTTATGTGACCAAAGAAATTTACCCTCAGGATATCAACCAAGTCAGACTTCCTCCCTCTTTCCTAACTATGTTTTGGTGCATCTTCTTAATACCATTCCCCTTTGTTTAGTGAACCTATACCTGCTGTTGCTTCCACTTTCCAGAGCAGACCTTTCCCCCCTGCATATCTTTGCTTTTTCTGCTCCCCTGTTCTCCTGCTCTGCAACCCAAACCCCTCCCTATAATTCTGGGCAACTCCTTTTTCCTTTTCCTGTGGTCTTGTCCATTTAGAGACATGGGTTCCTTGCTACTTTGGCTGAATACAAACTACGTATATGTTTAAAGGTAAAGGTAAAGGTACCCCTGCCCGTACGGGCCAGTCGTGTCCGACTCTAGGGTTGTGCGCTAATCTCACTTAAGAGGCCGGGAGCCAGCGCTGTCTGAGGACACTTCCGGGTCACGTGGCCAGCGTGACAAAGCTGCTTTGGCGAGCCAGCACCAGCGCAGCACACGGAAACGCCGTTTACCTTCCCGCTATAAAGCTGTCCCTATTTATCTACTTGCACTTAGGGGTGCTTTCGAACTGCTAGGTGGGCAGGAGCTGGGACCGAACGACGGGAGCTCACCGCGCCGCGGGGATTCGAACCGCCGACCATATGATCGGCAAGTCCTAGGCACTGAGGTTTTACCCACAGCGCCACCCGTGTCCCTTACGTATATGTTTAAATTGCATTTAAACAACAGCACCCACCTGCCCCCCCAAAAGTCAGAACCATAGTTCACCCTTCACAGAACTACAGTTCCCAACACCCTTAACAAACCACAGTTCCCAGAATTCTTTGGGAGAAGTCATGTGCATTAAATGTATGGGGTTACTCAACTCAGGCTCCACACAGGTGTAGTTAATGTAAGAAGTTTTATGAAACAGCATCTGCAGCAGTAGTTTGCCACATTAATTCACTTGTCCCCATGACTGAGTAAACTGACTTGGCAGCATGGACGATACAAAAGTACCTGCTTATCTGCTTGCTGTGGATATTACTGTTGGTGGATTAAAGTGTTCCATATACAGTACTTTTACAGTCAACAGTTATACATAATCAGTTTGGGAGGGGTTTTCCTTCTGCTAACTCTGCACCCTAAGATACCAAAGAGCAGCAGTGTTTTAAGGGAAAATACACAATGGAAAACTTAGATGGAAAAAAAATGACTCTTGGTCCACAGAGAAGTGTTAAATGTTGCCTCATTATATTTGAGGATAAGAGCCTACAGAAGTTTGGCAACTGTATGAAGAGATATGCAGCAGAGTCTCTCTAAATCTTTCTGAATGCGTAAATGACATGTAAAAGTGAGTTTTTATTGCACTTGGCACACTGCCTGAGGTCATAACACATTGCTTCCTTAGTAAATGTCTTTTCCCCCTAACCACAAAGATATACTTCAGACCTACCAAAAACCCCATAGGGAATAAGAACTGGGATTTCCCATTAAACAGACGGTGATCACTTCATAATGGATTGCTGGCAAGTTGCCAAGTCTACAGTATGGCTTGCAAATGATTTCCCCAATAACTACCTTTTTCAGAAAAACAGAATCACTGTTTTGCTGTATGAAGTGATTCACAACAACAGCAGCAGAATTAAAAGTAGAGTGTTCAGGGTACAAGGGCAAGCAATAAGAAGAAAGGCCAGTCATTGTTGGGGGAAAGCATACCAAAAGTTGGTGACTCACAAAGACCTGCTGTTTTTTCAGATGTTTGGAATCTCACATATGTGGAAGCAAGCTGCAATTGCTTGGGGCAGTGTTGCATGAACAGAACCATTTCCACTTGCACAGTGGGACTTCCCCCCCTCCCCCCTGCATACTCACTACATCTGTTATGGGGTCCCCCCAACCCTCCAAAACACATCTGGGGACAGACAAGCGGAGGAAAGGGGGGTGGAAGTCTTGTTGGGGGGGTGGCAGCCAAGTACACTTGCCCTGGACCTTGGAGGGCTTAACCAGCCGAGGCACCGCACTAGGGGCCAGCTACATTTTTGAGTTTAGAACTTCATTCTAACTCCACTCTGGGCATCAGACAGGCACAGCGCAGGCCTGAACAGAATACTTTCTACTTACGCAATTATTTACTTGAATACTGCCCTTGGTCAGATTGGAAAGGTGCCTTATACATGTGTCAAAGTCTCTCTAGTAGCAAGGAAAATGCTCATAATTATTATCAGCAGGTAGTAATAGAAATAAGGCTTTTTCATTAGAAAGTCTTTCGCCAGAAGGGGAGAACATGCAGTGTGCCGGCTCCACACACCATGTGGTTATGCACGGTGGTGATGGAAGCACATCAATCCTGAGGGTTTTCTCTCAGTGCATTGGCAATACCAAGCATATCACTTTAATGCTTCCTACAGGAATTAATATCCTTTACTTACATAGGAGTGTAAGTACATAGGAGTGAAGTGTACTTAAAGGAGATAAGTTTGGGAGGGGGTTGGAACAGTTAAAACTCTACACTTGTTGGCTTCTGTTTTTCTGAGAGAAGGCAGCTTTCCCCCCTCCCCCTGGTCATGCTGAATACAGACCATTTACTTTGTCTTATATTGGACATGAGGGGCGCGAGTGGTGCTGTGGGTTAAACCACAGAGCCTAGGGCTTGCCGATCAGAAGGTCGGCGGTTCGAATCCCCGTGACGGGGTGAGCTTCCGTTTGGTCCCTGCTCCTGCCAACCTGGCAGTTCGAAAGCACATCAAAGTGCAAGTAGATAAATAGGTACTGCGGGAAGGTAAATGGTGTTTCCGTGCGCTGCTCTGGTTCGCCAGAAGAGGCTTAGTCATGCTGGGCACATGACCCGAAAGCTGTACACTGGCTCCCTCAGCCAATAAAACCAGATGAGCGCCGCAACCCCAGAGTCGTCCACGTCTGGACCTAATGGTCAGGGGTCCCTTTACCTTTATATTGGACATAATGGGAGCCACTGAAATTTTAACCTACTCTGACTAGCATCACCACACCCTTTCATCATCATAACTCCATTCCATTTCTTGGGCACTCTTGAGCATGCTCGATACAGTTCCTGCAGACCCTCTAAGTGTCCCTATTTTCCAGGGATGTCCCTGATGTAGAGAAGCTACCTCGGTTTCTGATTTGATCCTGAAATGTCCTGCTTTTCCTTACGATGTCCCTATTTTCATTGGAGAAATGTTGGAGGGTATGGAGTTATCTGACCCCCGAGCTGTCTGAAAACAATCCTGTATAGGGAAGGTTTTTTAAACATTTAATTTTCATTGTGTTTTTTATATTTATGTTGGAAACTGCCCAGAGTGGCTGGGGCAACCCAGTAAGATGTGTGGGGTATAAATAGTATAATTATCACTATGGAATGGGACGTCCCTATTTTCATCAGAGAAATGTTGGAGGGGATGTTTGTGTTCATTTGCTTTGAGACCTACACAATGAAACATGAGATATATATTATTTTTATTATTATTAATTTTTGCAGAAAATTGTGCCCCAAGCTGCACAGGAATTACTGTCTAAACTTCAGTTCTTTCAGTTGCAAAACTCTTCTCTCAGCTGCCTTAAGTTTTCAAATGATCTTCACCCAATTAAGAAGATATAAAATGATGCCAAAAACTGCTAACAGAGAAATACATTTAAAGTCATTCACTTTTGTCAGCTTTTTTTAAAAAAGACAAACATTTGTTTGCTTGTTTGCGGCTGAATAAATATATGAGCCACAGTGCGAGCAAGCTAAGAAAATCTAATACGTGTCTTTATAAGGTGTGAGTATGACATTGTAAACTGCCCTTCCTTTGCTGAAAATCTGTAATTGGATTTTTATGTGGCTTGTTATTAAAATGTTTAGTCTGAGTAAGATGAAGGAAGAAGTGACTCTTTGCATGATCTGAAATTAAGCCTGTAAAACATTTGGATCACATTTTCCCCAAGATGTATCTTGATATGGCCATGTTCTACTAAAGGGCAAGCGATGGAATGTTTTATTTCATATGATTTCTCTGCATTTGATTGACAGCAGATCAAGTATGCACTGACCGCACCTACCCCATTGTAAAGCATTGAGCATGAGAGGATATGAAAGTTGTGCCTGTGGTGCTAGAAGATTCTAATGACTAATTTGCACATGCAAACCTTGATATGAAGTTGCATACTGATTATGTCTAGTTTGTCAGTATTTTGGGGGAGGGAATCAGTCATATACCAGAAATTTAGGTTTGCACAATAGTTTAAAGATTGCTGTTGTCCAACCACAACAAATCCACATTTTATTTAAAAAAATATTTATTGCTGTTAGGAAGGTGACAGGAAAATGCATAGGAAATGTGGGATGACTGAATGATTAATGGACTGAATAATTAATAGGAAGATCAGAGAATCAGAATTGTAGAGTTGGAAAGAACCACAACGGTCATCTAGTCCAACCCCCTGCAATGCAGGAATCTTGCACCCAGTGTGGGGCTCAAACCCATGACTGTGAGATTAAAAGTCTCATTGTTATGTACTGAAGTTCTCACCCTGGGCCAGCAGGGGGATACTGTAGATAGTTCAGGTCCACATATGCAAATAAGGGATCGAAAGTGACGTTCAGTGATTGGATAGTTACAGAAAATTTTTACTGTTGTGTTCTAGTGGAGCTCTATATAAGCAGGCTGGCTGAACCCTTCAGTTCAGTTCTGTTCTGGCCTGTGAATAAACAAGAGCTGTTTGAAGAATCGCTGTGTCGTCTGATATGTTCACCCACAACCTAACTCTCATGTTCAGGTCCCGACTGAACTATCCCATTATAAACACCACATAAGAAAATCATGATGAATGCTCATTGTTGCATAACATCCCCACAAACAAATCAGAATGAATGATCAGTAAAGGCAGGATATAGCCTAACCCCCACATAAGTTTTGTGCAAGCGAATCAGATCAGCTAATGGAAACCACTATCATATGACGAACATGCATGTGTGAACCCATCCCTATATTGGTTTTCCTTCGCTCTGTTGGTCTTGCTTAGATGTAGAATTACTTCTACCCGCAGTCTGTCTGATGTTCTTCTCTGGTTTCCTCTTCTTCTCTTACAGCATGAGGCTTGGCAGTGTGAGACATCTGGCACTATCTGCTTGCTAGGACTGCGCTGTGCCTCCTTTCCTTTTGTTACCTGCTTGGGGCATACTGGTAAGGATTGTGTGAGTTAATCTTACTGTCTTGTAAAAATAGCAGACATTCCTGTGGTAAGCCAAGTACTAGTATTTATTAACTAGCAGAGGAAAGAAGAGCTATATTATTCACAGGAACATGGGAAGCTGTCTTACACTAAATCAAATAATATATTCGTTCATTTGTATAATTCGTAACCCATCTACTTCACAGAGCTAACAAAATTTATTTATTTATTTAATGCATTTCTA